TAAACATATTACATCAAAAGAAGGATAGCATATCCAAATCTTAGAAGGAAAAGATATATAAATAAAGGAAAAAATGTGCATTATATATATTACATACAATGTACTCATTTGCAAAAGTGCCTTTTGTGATAAATATTTTGATACAATAAAAGTTATGGGAAAAGAATATATGTTCACTCCAACATGTGTGTAAGTTTATTACATGTTTCAGGAAAACTTTAATGTAATTGACAAATGTATCTTTGGTAACCTATTGATTTCAGTTACTTATGATATCATTGAAATCAAATAGAATTGTAGTCCTATAGCCATTGTACTGATGATTAACAGTGCTGGGAATCTACATTAATAAAAGTTGATTTGTATTAATTTGATGTATACTTCTTTCTAAAGCATAGGCACAGTAAGTGAAACTGGTTAGTTTAAGTAACAAGAAGCATTATTGTCAAGGAAAACAACAAAATCGTGAGAGATTACCCAGCACATCGGAACATACAAAACATTGGAGGAGTGGCACATGCCACCTGGTTCAGACATGTATAATACTCTTAAATATGTCTTTTTCTTAATTTTACCCAATGAATCAAAATGACTTATGATGATACTATGGGATGGTAATATCAAATTATATGTAGCTTTTGTATGTCTAGCAAGTTATAGATTAATTAATTTAGTAATTCCTAAATTATTTATGTATATTGAATACATTAAGATAGGTAAATAGTGTAGTACAACTTGTGATCTAAAGATATTAAAACATGATAAAGAATTTAAGATCTTCCTTACCAAATTGAGGGAAAACAAGACAATTGTACATTTCACAAATACATCATTTATTCACGACCATTTTTTCACCAGTAAAAGCATCATCATTGTTTTCCTCAATTTTGTAATTCACCAAGTACCAATGGTTTCAAGTGTCTTCCTAACCCTTTAAAGAGTTACTGTGAACCTTATATTTTGCATCTTCTTAGTTATGGGAAGCTGATTAAAACATATCTTAGAAATATCAACTTGTACTGAAGTAATAGCTGTGTTAATTTTCTGTTTAATGTTTATCTACAGAATGCTGCCAAAATTGCTGCTTCGATGGCTACCCAGAACATAGCTGCAGCACAGCGAGCAACATCCCACAATGAAAACTGGGCAACTCAAGAACAACTTATGGAAAGCTGCAAGGTGAACTAGTCATTAATTGTATTTTGTTTTCATTCCCAAGAACATCTTATAGCCATGTGTAGATGAAATGAATTATATGTCAGTGTGCACAGTTGCAGATCAAAAACTTATTTTATTGTCGACTTTCTGCAGAAAGGAATAAAATAGATTTTTAAATTTGAAAGGTAATGTTGTTAAACCAGACTGTATGAGAGTCAACACTAGGAACATGTAACTCTGTATGAGAGTCAACACTAGGAACATGTAACTCTGTATGAGACTCAACACTAGGAACATGTAGTTCTGAATGAGACTCAACACTAGGAACATGTAGTTCTGAATGAGACTCAACACTAGGAACATGTAGTTCTGAATGAGACTCAACACTAGGAACATGTAGTTCTGAATGAGACTCAACACTAGGAACGTAGTTCTGAATAAGACTCAACACTAGGAACATGTAGTTCTGAATGAGACTCAACACTAGGAACGTACAACTCTGATTATATATTTTTTTATTTTCTAAAGTCATTCCAAAATCCCATATTATTGATAACAAACAGAAAATTATTTAAGATTGGTTAATTTTAATTCACTGACATATTGGATATAATTATCAAGGTTTTGCAACAAACTGAAGCAAAATTTCATATTGCAATAGGAGCTGCATAGAAATTATGTGAAATGCTGTTGAAAATAGTATTGATCAAGTAGAGAGTTCAACCTCTTCAAAATTGGTTTTAAGCAACTCGGAGTATAATCTTTACATAATACATGATGGTCCAATAGAGACCTGGGCAATGATTTGGTTGTAAGTACAACTGTGAATATTACCTTCAGAACAGTGAGATACACATTAGATTGGGTGATCTCAGTCAATTTCTAGCCACTCAATAACCACTGCTTAGGTAGGAGAAAACCAAAAGGCTGAAATATACATTATACTTCAAACAGTGGGATGAGAAATTCTAGAGGAGGGTGATCTTTACAGATGAATTCAAATTGAAATTGTTTGGCAATCAACAATAGTTTGTTCAATGGCAGTGAGGTGAATGGATCACAGACAACATTGACAGTGAAATATCCTTGGAGACTAAGGACTGCATCTCACCCAGTTGTACTGGAGATATACATAAAATTTGATGGCACATTGACTGCTGACTGGTACCAGTAAATTCTTAGCTATCAATTCATTTTCTCAGGAACAAGACTTGTTGGATTCTTCTTCTAGCAAGACTGATTTCAATCATGTAATAGATGTGTTAAAGTGGAACACTCACAGCTGTGGCATGGCCTGCACGAAATTCTAATATTAAATATTATTGAGGTTGTATGGACTTGTATGGAAACTGAGAAAGTCAGGTGGCAACCAAACATCTTTGTTGAATTTTTCGAACAGTATTTCACAATCATACATTTATAAGATTATAGTAACATAAAAACAGATGCAGTGCAATGTTTAACCCTATTGGTCCAGGTACCCTTTACTGTGCATCACACAAGGTTTTAGTGTCTTACATTCAAAATTTTATCAAATTACTTTTGTTTATGTTATACCAATTAGAATAG